TGAGGAAACTACAGGGTAAGAATACACATATATTTAATTTACATATATTGTACAAATTAAGGGCTTGATTGTTTATGAAATAATTTGTTCAAATTGAGTTATTTTGGTTAACTATAGTTAATTTTGAAAAATGTAGTATGGTTAGTTGTAGTGGAATTTTAAGAATGTATTAAAATAATATTTAGAATAAAATAATTAAAATTGATTTGATGTAAAAGTAAGAGATAAATGATTGGAAATGATTGGAAATGATAGGTAGTTAAAATTATGTGAGTGGATGAATAGTGAATTAAAGTTGACGTGATGTGTAAGAATAATTGGTTTGTATTATTTAATTATATGAATAATATTAAAGATAGTGGGGTTGAGTTAAAGTTGAGTTAGATTTTGAGTTGAAATAAAAGTAAGTGAATTATTTTGTAAACAATCACCCCCTAAATAATTTTAACATAAATCTGATTTTATCATGCACACAGCCACACACACACACACACACTATAAAGTTTTTATTTGGTATACTTTTCGTCTTTCTACAAGACCCGTTTTAAGATTCATGCAGTTTTATCTGGAAGTAAAAGTATTGCTTTAAAGAGCCCAAAACAATATCAGTTTGCAAAATAGACATAAATATTCATAGGCAAATAAATCCTCGTACACACTGAAATCTTATTGCATTTTGATTGTCACTGATGCTTGTGAAATGAAATGGTGTTGCATATTTTAAATTTCACGGCAGAGGTAAGTGGAATCTTATCTTATAAAAAAAAAATGGCTCCTGAATTTCTTTCACTTGTTCATGCAGTATCTGGCTTTGCATTTTAGGTCTGGCCTGGATGTTAAATCGAGACGCTGTTCGGCACACCTTTCAACGTCACACCAGGTTCCGAAAACGGCTTCAAGAGTGTGTATGGCACCACACCAGCCCCAGTCCGATTCATCAGGCTTGTATCCGCATTTCTACCGTCGATAATCCCCTCGATCTCTTTCATCCGCCCGTTGAACCGCGTAAAAGCTGCGGCTATCACTTTATCCTCGGCCCAGAACGGCTCGATTTTCTCCCCGAGATATTCCTCATCGGGCGAATGTGCAGATACAACGTCCAGAACAGCCAGCACGTTCATCGCCTGCATTTGCGAAGGAAGGCAATCCAAAAGAAATGCCTCGGGCCTCTCGAGAAACTTCTTCTTCTCTTCCTCGCTCGGGTCCTCGGTGGGCATTGGGGTTCGGGTTATGGTGGGCCTGTTGGGAAAGTAGCCACCAAAGTCGAATTGGGCAAAGTTGACCGCCGCATGGTGGCCTGAGACCACCCATATGATGCTCGTGAGGATCCCAATCAGGTCCTGTGGAGATTTTAGCTGGGGCCACCACGGCTCGTCCTTTTTGTCCGTGTGGCCCAATGTTCGGATCTCTGTCCACCATGATTGGAGCTCGCTGTCTGATTGGACGAGGTTTGCTTCAGGATAGTAGTGCGTGACGTAATCCGTGACCCACTCTTTGATGGCGTCGTATAGGAGCAGACCATCATTTGCATAAGGGTAGTCTTCAATTGTCAGCTTCAGTCCATGAGGTGCAGTTGGATCCTCCACAGCCATTCCCCTGGAGTTACAAAACAATTCAATGTAACGGTGAATGGTTTTAGTTCTTGAATATTTCAAATTCAGAGAAAGATACTTGCTAGGTAAATGCAAATCTCAACTGATGTTTCGTAACATGGGCATTTTTAATTAGGCAAATACTTTAGAAGCGAAGCGCAGTGAAGGAAAGGTTATAATATATGCTTGACGCGAAAGGAGAGGAATGAATTAGGATGCCTTTCAGTATCAAATTGCCTGACGACACAGAGCTTATGTATTAGAATTCGAGTTCTTTTATAAATTTTTAGCAGTCTTTTTCAACCTGGCCTGGTCAGGCTAGGCGGGACGGCTGGGACCTAGAGTCAAACCTGGGCTGGGTAACTCAATTAGACAGAACCGTAACTGCCAACGCTGGTGGCTCGGATGGGTCTTTGCAGACGAGCCAACCCACTCACATCTCTGTCTGTTTGTTTATTTTCCTTCTCCATTTCCATAGCCCGTGCAATGCACGGGTCAATAATTATAATTGCATTTATTAAAGCGATGAAGGAATATTGATTAGTATAAAAATAGTTTTGAATAATAATAATAATTAATTTTTTCTTTTATTTTATGATATATAATAACTTAATAATATTTATTTCACTCGTTATATTAAACAGTAGACCATGTTTACAATTAAGGATAATGAAAATTTAACATATTTTAATATTATAAATAAATAATACTCACATAATACTTCTTCTTCTACTCGTACACATTCCTTGTTAGAAATATTATTTCGATTTCTATACAAGTTAAGCTAACTTAACTTTGAAAATTGTGGCAAATATTATAACTACCACTTAATTAAAAATATTGTAATATATATTATTTTGAGGTAAAAAAAAATATTAATTTTTTAAAACCTCAATATTATTCTTTTCTTCATATAATTTATAATATTATAAATATTTTAATTTTTCTTTCTAATCTTCAAAAAATCATTATGATTTTTTATTTAAAATATTTCTTACAATTGAATGTTATTTATCAACATTAATAAAAGAATTATGGTGGTCTCTTATTCATTTGGTAACATTGTGATAAATATTATAATAAAATTTCTATAATTGATTTTCAATATTTTGCAATCATATCGTGCATATTCAAATAATACTTTCTAAAAACGAAACATATTTAATAGACGGCTTTTGAAGACATTTTGTAAGGTTCTTTACCAACACAATAAAGAAATTGCGGTGATTCGTAATTAATATGAAGAATCGAATTTTTAATGCGATAATTATCACAAAATAATTTTCAAAATTTATATAACTTTATTTATATAGAAAGTCGTGTTATTAACCGGATTGCACGATTTACAACATATATGTATAATACAATTTTTTTTTATAAATATTAAAGTAGTTTTTACTTTATTTCTTTTAATAGTAAATCAACAGATTTAATTATAAAATCAAAGTTACTATTTTGGATTATTCCATCAACCTCTTTCAATGTATATATAGATATAGATTCTAGCGTTTTCCTTCTCTTTCAGCTATCAGATTGGAGAAATTGCGAAATTTCCCAAGAACCAGAGAAACCTCACATTCATAAATTTAACCCAGTGCAAAAACTCCAACTCAAGAATTTGCACGATACCCATTGGTGGTTATTTCTAACTTTTACCCTTTCTTCAATGAAACCACGCTCTTCTTCTCACCATTCCTCCCAGAGAGTTGAACTATCTATGCATGTTCGTCTCTAGTATGTGTACATAGATGTGTATATGTGTGTGGACTTTCTATGTGGTGTGTGCACGCGCTTAAGACATAATATTATGTGTGTATATGTATATCTCTGGGTGGTCGAAAGATAAGAGTATACATATATAATTCAATAATGTTCAAACATAAATTCAATATATAATTTTCATATTTTTATATTTATATGCGTAATATTTTTAATAGATATTATAGAAGTGCCAAACTAAATTTTTATTTATTTTTTAAATTTTTTATTTCGAGCTCGAACGATTTTCGAACGAACTGAACTTGAGTTAATTAAACAATTAGAGTTAAGTTTGCTTTATTGAATCATTTAAACATGAACAAACTCGAACTTTAACGAACAATTAAGCAAACCAACATGTTCGAAGACCAATTTTCGCTCAAATAATAAACAAACCAACATGCTCGAACACAAAAGAACACGAGCTTGAGATGCTCCAGCTCGGCATGTTTGGTTCGCTGCAGCACTTAACATGGACATCTTCTAGGTTTTCCAGAGTTCTCAATCTTTAGGTAAGTTTTTTTAATTATAAAAAAATACTGACTCACTTCAAGATGGGATGCATCAACTTTTAGAGATAAAATGTAATTATCCCTATTAAATAGTTTACCTGTTGATTAAATCTGCCGGTAGTGACTCTACGTCGAACTGCCATAGTTTGTCATAGAGATGAGAGCTCAATTCTGCAGAGTACTTACTCGTGGAGTATGCACCCTCAATGAAACCATTGGCACTGATAAGGGAGTCACGAGACATAGAATTAATCTCCATCGTGTACCGCAAATGGGGATGCAACAATCTATAAATCGGATGCATTGCACTCAATTGCCTATTAGTCGCGATTACATAAGGCTCTGAACAACAATGAGTACGTAACCTGCAGAGTAAACACAAGATATCAAGATTGTCAAAAAAAGGATGGTTCTATATATATTTCACAAGCTTGAGTTCAGACCTTTTTGTTACTCGTCGTATTCTGTAAGGAATCTATTCTATTTTTTTGTGGACCAATTTCATAATGAAAATATAATTAGAGTAGCAGGAAAAGTTTCTACGAGAATTCAAGACTCCCTTACTTTTTTCCTCTAAAGCTTCGGGTATAAAAAGTACATGATATTTAAAGGTAGAGAAATCGTGGGTGTAAGAAAAGAAAAACTCACCAGTGATTACACAGTTGATGGAACGCAGAGTCATGAGCCAAGACGTGAGCCTTAGCCAGCCTCCACAACCAGATGCCAGTTGGGTTCCAAGATGGCTGGTAGACCTCCTTCCACTGAGGTTTCCCATCTACCGGCGGTCTCACTAGCTCGATAGCCACGGGCCTCAACACACCTCCAGGCATCAAGAAAAATAAAGTCCTCGACCCATAAAAGGTTGTCCCCTTGAGCTCCCTTACTTTGTTAACGTAAGGCAAGAAAATGTCGTGGTAATCTAAAATGAACAACTTCTTTTGCTTGAATGCCTAGATGAAAAAAGAAAAAAAGAAAAAAGAAAAGGAAAAATAGATCAAAACGTTATCGCATGAAATCACGCCCACATTCCCAGCAGTCGGATTTCACCTCATCAACTGTCATGTGGCCTCCGATTACGTTCTCTACCAGTTCCTTTGTGATTGCTGATTCAGCAGGTCCGTAGATCTTAGGGTCGAGCTCACTTTTCAGTGGCCATTCCTGTAACAAACAAATTAGACAAATTTAGCGTTATGCGTCTACTATATGTCTTATTTCTCAGATTCTAAATATGGAGTAGGAGAAAGTGCAAAACCTGCTGTTGAGTATGATCAAATTACAGTACGACTCGATATTGTTTCAAAACAGTAAATACCCCCTTAGGTATAACATGCATGCTCCTAACTTTTCCCATTTTATATAAGATGTCCTCTTGTTGAGAGTGGACTTTATGAAATCGAAACAATGGGCACCAAATTATTTTTATGTTTGAAAGGTACTTGGGGACCTGGGGTCTCTGCAATTATATAAATCAGTAAAAATTTTCGCAATGAACACAGTATATATTGAGAGTGGTTTGTGTTCACAATAAAAACCAAAATGGACATCCACACAAATGCATTACGACCCTCAACAATTTGATTGAAATATGAGTGTGTTAGCCATACCGTAACCAACTTGATGCACAATGGATTTTGACCTGCAAGAGTTTGTCTCGCGAACTCAGCATCCCTAAACCAAGCAAACTTATCTCCTACAATCATAACAGAAAAAGTAGCTCAACACGAAGCACCACATGTCCCCGCGCAACATCCAAAAATAAAATATTAGAGAAAAGTACAGACAACGGAAAAAAGAAAAGAAAACAACAAAAGACAAAAAGAAGCAGAAATCATGGAATTACTGTCGATCAACTCAGGGGTCTCAAACTGCAGCACAGTGTCCTTGGTGTCCTCGATAAACCTGACGACCCTGGGTAACATACTCCCCAGACCTGTAGAAGGAATATCCGGTAACAAAACACCTTCATTGTATAGAGTGTCTATGGCCGTGAAGTGAGGGAACCCGCGGGTGCTGTCTACGATGGAAGTCTTCACTGATGGGATGAGCATATGGAGCACCGAGTACATGGTCTTCGCTGAGTATTGCTCCTGCTTTATTTCGGAAAATGCTTCATCTCTAGGCACATACACACTAGATGTGGGGCTCTTTGACTCAGATAGTGGATCTGAGTATGATATTAAATTCAGACATTTAGTAGAGATTACAAACCAGAGACAAAAGAAGTAAAAGAAGTAAACAAGCTTTTAGTTCAGTTCATAATATTTTACTTACCGTGATATCGCGCGATTACCTATCACTATCAAGAAAGAATATTTATCACATGAAAAAGTATCTCACATGAAAAAGTATCTAAAAGAACAATCTTTATAACACATTTTTCATGCGATATTACTTACGACTCCTTTGACATTTTTATAGCTAATATATACTTCCCCCATCTCATTTTTCTTTTTTTCATATGTGAAATGCAATCTAATTGCCTACATAATTGAGCGATAGAGGAAGTGAACCTCGTATCAACCGGTACATCCCCTCGTAAAGGATGAACGTTACCACTTGGTTTACAAATTCCTCATACAGTCTCATTTCTCATATTAACATATTTTTAAACTAATATTCAATCGGCATCACAAAATCCTAACAACTCTATCTTCATATATTACTCCTATCGACACTAGTTGCAATATTGGCTTACTTTAGAAAGTGGGCAAATGTCTCAGAAAATCGGGTATATAAAATATATATATATAACAAAGACGAAGAAAACTAAACACATTTCAAAGAAACTAACAGTCATAACTTTTAGCTAAGCATTTTGACAAACAGCTACTGTGCGTCCCTAAATTTTCAATTAAACTGCAGAAACACAAGAGCCTCGGGGTGTGTATCTGACCTTGTTTAGTTCTTGGGCGGCCAGTTCTGCCGCGGCGAGGGTAAGGATGGTCGGGGCCGCCGAGGACGGGGCGTGCCAAGTCATCGTCGGCGTCGGGATCTCCAAGATCGTTGTACACATCGTAGTCGTAAATCCTCTCGAAGGTCTTGCGCTCGCCTTGGCCGTCGCCACGTAGGATGGTCAGCTCTTTCGCTCTGTGTTTTATCAGCCCACTCGGAGTTTGGGATGGCAGATAAGACTATATGCCCATCATTCAAATCAAAATGTTAAATTTCATTATCATGTAACAAAAATAAAAAAAAAAATGTTATGAAATTATTATCTTTTTATATTAAATATATACATATGATAAACCGATAATCTATTAATATATAAAGATGCAATGATGTTTACTTGAAATCTATACTTATATAAAAAGCATTATATTTACTAGAATTAGTAGTAAAAAAAGTCAAAAGTAAATGCATTCCATTTCCATCAAGTATTTTATTTAATTATTTTAGTTAATTGTTTTATCTCATAACACATTTTCAATACAACTTACCATGATTTTTCTATTGTGATTAAAAGCCAAATTTTACGTTTAAAATCTTGAGAAATTATCATTATTATTTTTATAAAGCAGAAATTATTTGCTAAAAAACTGTATATATATATATTATATATATATATAATACACATCACAGTACCATGGTAGATGATTTAAATTTCAACCGACCAAAATACCAATGATTTAAATTTGAACACACCTATGCGTTTGACAAAATGTCTGGATGATTAAAATTGAGCCCATAAAAAAATTATTTAATTTGAACACACCAAAAATTTTATATACTTTTTATTTATAAATATATTGAAAGTGGTATTTAATGGTTGTCATATAAACTATTTGAATATATTTGCAATGAATAAAAGTTTCAATGAGTAATTTGCAATGCTATTCATAATGTTTGTGACTTATGAGACACGAACACATAACTCCATACATATTTGCTAGAGGGCGGCTTAATAATTTTTTAGACTTAACGTTAATTAAAAGAGGTAGAAAATAGATAATAACATTATTACTTTTTAGACTTAAACGGACAAGGCTGTGAAAATAACTCATTTAATATATTTGTCCCGTGCATCGCACGGGGTACGTACTAGTAACAATTAAAAATAAAAAAGAACATTGGATTTCCCACCTAAAATATTTACTGTGCCTAAATTAATGTAATTAATGTACATAATCATTTTGGTCAAATCTTGCAGTTATTACCTTTGTTAGTTGCATGATTTTAATTTGGAATATAATATATTGACAAAACTTGTAACTATTACCTTTGTTAGTTGCATGGTTTAAATTTGGTATATAATATATTGAAAAGAAAATAAAATATTTTTATTCTAAATTAAAAATAAAAAATAATTATTCATAATTTGCGGGTCAATATTAACTTGGACGTAAACGAAATAGTCAATTATTTATAGTCTAATAAATTACTCAATAACTTAGGGGTTAAAGTTAACTTGGACGTAAACGAAATAGTCAATTATTTATATTTTAATATATTACTCAACTACATAATTTTTTATTGAAGAGTTTATACAAAAATAGACTATTTTAAGTAATGAAACGATTTAAAATTTATATTTATACTTATTATTCACATAAGTTATTAAATATATGATAACATATTACCAAAATAACTATTTTTTGGAATAACATTATAGTCAAATAGAATTTCTGAATAAAAATTCTGAAATGATACTTATTTTGAAACGAATATAATGTGATTTAGTATCAGTTATGTGCTCCACACGGATTGTGTACTAATTTTAAAAGATATTTTTATGTAATTTTGTACAATTTAAACCTTATATAACATTTTCAATAAATTAAAATAGGTAATTATACTACATATTGATTTTATATTTTTATTTTATAAATAATACTTAAATTGAATGCTTAATTTATAAATATTTATGAATCCCTCTTACTTATACACTGCAGGGGACTCATACTAGTTAATAGAATACAACCATCAACTAATATGATTTTAAAAAATTTAATTATTTTTATTTTTAATGACACTAGCAAGATTTGTTAATCTATATCTATATAAAGACAGAACCTATTTACTAAAAATAGTAACAAAAATAAATCCGCAAAAATTAATTGCATGTCACTTTGAGAAATTATTTGAATTTTATTTACCACAAAATTAGGCAGCATTAAATGCTCCTTAAATGGTGGGTTTATTCAATTAAGGTTTATTCATTCAATTTTATCTTACCTTCCACATAATTATATTCTTAATAAACATTATATTTGCTTATATAATATTAAATTAATTACATTAATAAATAATATTAATATAAATATTTATCATTAGATAAAAAATAAAATTATTTCTATAAGTGTTATAAATAATAATGACATTATATGACAATAAGTTTTTAAATAAAATAATATTTGAGTATTATGATGAATCAAAGTATGTAAAATTATTATTTTTTTTGTATTAAAAAATAAATATCTATGTTAAAATATTATTTATAATATATAAACGAGTCAGCAGGCTAATATATTGCTAAATAAAGTTTTAAAAAAATGTTCTAAAATACGAAACCCGTGAATCGCACGGGATTCTCACTAGCTCTACTTTACAATAATTTTACTAAGTTGGCTACCTAAGTAAGTGAGTGAGATGGCCCTTATAAACTTAGAATTTTTTTTTTATTACCCAACACTTTACAGAAAGCCTGTGGAGCTATCGGATGGCTCTCTTATAAAGTAATCCATCACTTTATGTACTGACACATGTTCAATATGCATTTATTGCAGGACATGTGTCAATACATCATTTGCTAATAACAATGGATGACTCCATAAGCCGAGTCATCCAATTGCTCCATAGCAAAACTGCAACACTTTAATACTTTATTTTTAGAATATCGTAAAAATGTCAAGAGCTATTAGAACACCCATAATGCTTTGGGTCTCTTTTTGCATATGTGACAAATAAATAGACTTAAGTCCATAATGACATGGACAAACCCAAGCTAAAAAATCCAAAATCTATCCAATTCAAAACAAAAAAGTACTAGGTCTAGAATACTAAACAACCAATAAAAATATAGTAATAATAAATGCATACAAAAAAATATATTTTGCTTATTAAAAAAAAAAAAGAAAATTGTAAACAAATAATGACTAGGTGGGTTTGCACTTGGGTCCAAAATAGACCCAAGTATGAACTTGGTCTCTTTTTTCTAGTGCCACATAAGTTAGACTAGATCCATTTTTAATTGCATTGTGAAACATTTTTTTATAGACTAAGTCTATTTCCTACATGGCATGCGATTTTTTTCTAAAAGACCCAAAGAATTGTGGGTGCTCTTACGAGACACAAATCAGAGTAGATTTTTTATTTTTATTTTTATTCTTTTAGTAGCAATAAACTCAATAGATATGTCACGTAAGTGTAGCCGTGTAGGTCATCTCATGTTATCCACACAGTACATGCAACTTTAGATGTACTCGATAGAATCTAATCAAAACGACAAATAAACCTGTCGTATGAGATGTTTAAACAAACAAATTAAAGGTCCCCTCCTCGTACTGGCACTTGTTCTGAAAGTTACATGTAATTCACTCATTTGTAATGGAGCCATATATCAGTTATAAGCTTTTTTTTTTTTTTTTTTAACT